ATTATTTCTGTCTGGTAACACCTAGCTGGACTGCAGCCGTTTCTATTATTACTTCCAGCAGTACGAATCAGAATCGAATGCCTTATTCGCACGATCGACTGGCTGGTTGTCAACGTGACTTTGTCAACCAGCGACTGGAGGGAGAACGCAGCTGTTCTCTGCGTACATGCTGGAAATGCTTAATAAATACGCCTCTCTCTCTCTGATTTCTAGGTGATTGTCCTTGATGGCGCCCCGGAGCCCTATCGACTCACTAGCACAGCTCTGGTGCATATTGAACTCACCGATGTAAATGATGAACCCCCAAAAATTGAGATCCTTATCGCTCAGAACGGCCAGGATCTCTTGTTCAGCGACTCCAGGGGTTGGCAGTCTCACATTAACTCAATGACCACCTCACAACAACAACAGCAACAAGAGCTTGTGGCCTACATAGAGGAGACGCCTTCGCCTGACACGGTGATCGCCTACGTACAGGTTAGTTGATTCTGTTGTATTCCAGTGTTCCCTGAAAATTCCGCAAGCGTATTTATTTTCTCTTTAAAAATTGTACTGGTAAGGAAACTTGAAACCCCTTACATCACCATAGGTTTTTATGCTCCGTTCGGCTGTTGTCAACTGAAAAAAAACAACTCATCTACTCCAAAACGCTGTCTGTTGTCCTTGGGAACTAATTCCAGCAAATGAAGAATAGAAAGCTGCGAAATCGTAAACCACCAGGCTTACTTGTGGTATAAGGCTAAAAGTGAGATTTGAAAGGAAGTTGAACCGGCATTTCTGGAGGAAATTAAGCACTAGCGCAAATACATGACCCCTGAGAAGGAAGAGGAATTATTAAGCACTAGAAGATCCACGACTTCATTTAAAATAAAGGACAGATCTTAAGATATAGGTTTGCTGGTTTGTTGATAACGTAGTGAAGAGTGCTGACAACATTTCTGCCTTGAGTGTTGACTGAGCCGGCATTGAACAATGCAGAAATATTCAGTGGGCATTACATTTACGACAAAAGAACGGGTAAGGATAGCTTATATGGCCCCCTAAATGGAACAAAGGAAAAGAAACTTTCTGCCCACATAAAAAAGTTGGCCCTGCAAATACTTACAGAAAGGATCGATGTTCTCCTCTAACGTGCTCCCTGACATAACACTAAACAGTGGCCCACCTCTTAACCCTAAACGTATTCTGAACTTACCTTAACGTTAACCTTGATTTTAACGTTAAACGAACTCCTCTTTACTCGGGATCTGACGCGCAACGAAACTGGCATTGC